CCCTGGAACTATGCAAAAACTAGGAATAGATAACACTGCTGCTACTTAGAGATACTTCAGTCCCATTTATTTATGAACAGACCCGGGTTATACAGTATGCTGTTGGGAGGAAGGGGCGAAAGAATTTCGTCTCCTTTTTGGATCCGCCTACAGACAGGAGGGGGGTTTTGCACTCTAAACAGAAGCCTGAGGAAAGGTACGGCCCTCCGCTGACCTTTTCTTAAATTTCGACCAAAAAAAAAAACACATAAACAATAGCCCATTTCAGAGAAAAACCCGAAGAAACAGGCAGCAACTTCAAATTGCCGAACGATTCCAGCGCCGTGACCAATCCTCCCGCTCCTGAAAGCGTTCTGCCTGCAAAGCACTGCCAGTTCGATGCTGACGCTGTCAGCGGTTTCAGCTGTGAAATTCAACAAAGCACGAAGCAGTGGACTGCTCACGGCGGTTCAACGCCCACGGAGGACGAGAGCATTCACGCGCATTCGGAAAAGCAGAATTGGCTGCTATTCGAAGGAGGTATAAAAGAGCCTGATTTATTCTATATACCCTATAAAAGGGAGAAATGATGGGTGTGTCCTCCCCCGGCAAAACTAGGTACAACATGAGGTCACTTTCTGATCAGGCCAAAAAAGATCGAAGGATGATTTTCTAGCAAAGGCGAGGGAGGAGGGAGGCGACGGTGGGAGAGGAGGGGCGGTTACAAAAGGGAATGAATGAGGCGCGAACATCTTAACTCAACTGTTTTTTTCGAAACGTCTTAACTCAACTGTTTTTCCTTCCATTTTCTCCTATTATTTTTTCCTCTTTATATACACTTCCCTTACTTTGGCACCCATCAACATGGATGCTACAAACGGATTACCCGTATCATGGCGGCATACCGGCGATCGCTGGCCTCATGCGGCTGCACTTGCCCCTCGTCCGGCATCGTTCTTGCGCACTGAGCCTCGCCTGTAAGCATACCAGTTCAAACTTCCCTCATCCCTCCTCTTTCAACGCGATAAAAATGATTGGCCAACGCACGGACTGCCCGTGCGAAGATGCGTTTTTTGCAAAGCTCCCCGCAGATTTTTGTCGCTGACGGCACTGGTTTTTCCGGCAGATGCTTCTAGCTAAAACAATTCCAGACTGGCCGCCAGAACTGTCAGGAAACACCCTTTCAAAATCCCAGTCTTCTAGCTACTCACGTTCTCGAGCTAGCAACCTTCCCCGAAAAAAATTTCACGGGCTCGTACGTTGGTACCACGCTTACCCGCGGGCAGAGTTTGAACTCGTTAATACCCACTTGGACAGGGAACATCCCCTAAGATTTCAGCGTTCTAGCTTCCTAGATCCCCGAGTTATGAACTTACACCAAAAAAATTTTGGTGGGCCCATACGCGGGTACCACGCGGGTGATGGCGCCCACTTTGAGGATTGGGGCCGGCACGTGCATGTAAATTAAATTCCCGAAATTTCAGCCCTGCAGCTTTTATAGGTCTTGAGATGAAAGTGTG